ATTTCTTTTTCTTGCTAAGACGAAGCAGGCGTGGTGCAATCTATATACCACATTCATCCTGATGTTGGAACCTCAACCTGGGAACAAGCGGTCTGCTCTGTATGACCTCGCCAGGAATGCTGTATAACAGGGGTTAAGTTCATCCGTGGACTAACTCCGTCGCATGAAGGATCTCATTGTTGTCAAACCCGGACATGAGGTCTCAACAAAAGATTGACACCTCTCCGGGTGCAACAGTTCCACCTCGGGGATTGTAGGTTCAACGTTCGTACACCCTTCAGGACAGACAAAACCCGGGCTGGAAAATTATTCACGCTTCCGCCTTCCTGTCATACTAGGCCGGGCTTCTGGCAGGTGCTAATACACATTAGACCAACAGAGCATTCACCCTGGTTAAACAGAGTGCTTAACAAGGACACTGTCTCTAAAGGTGAATTTCTCCGACCGACTGATCGCCATATTTCAAGGTTCACTAATGTGCGGGAACCGCACACAAGCACTGACAGCACATGACCCTGACACAATGCATGGATGCCATTAACACTGGCAGGAACCGTGCGTTCGCTTTGGCCTATATCGAAACCATTTGAAGGAGAAGTCTTCCATGCCGAGCGCAGAGAATGCAAACACTAGTAGCATATTTGTAAAGGATACTTGGCGTGTTCAACTCCTGGTACACCCAGACTTTCACATAAATGACAACACGCTCGGTGGAGTCCCTGGGCCGACGGCCTCTCCACAGAGGAGGCAACCCGACGGAAGCTCAGGTCGGACTTCTCTGCGAGACAACCATGTCCGGGCCAACCAGTACAAGACCAGTTGAATCGGCGTCTGAACGCCATCAGATGCCATGAGGGGCCAACGATCCATGTGTTAAAAACGGCTGGAGAGAGAGGAGAATCTTGTCGCGCTGCATGGTCTGGGCAGCCCACAACGCCAGCAAGTCCATGGAGTACTCCGAGGACAGCGGAGAATTGATTCCGTGCGAGTGATGAGCGGCATGCACGAGGTCCGGTCGACTAGCAGCCAAGTGGATGCTAATGTGGGCAGACCAGCTGTGACCGAAAAAAAAGACGAGCAGCGCCAGCGACCGCATGACAAATCAGCTTAAGACTGGATGACCGATGAAGCAGACAAGGTCAATTGATTGGTTATCACCCCAGCAGGTTATCCACGAGGAGATCAGGTCAAACCAGGTGCGGCAGAAGGTCCACACATGGCCAGACATCTAGCTACATTTGCGCTGTCTGCTGTCTATGGTCTCCTGTGTACGCCGTACTCCGTACGTGATAAGATAGTGTTACGTGAGGGGCAGTTCACAGGGGGAAAGGATGCCGACATAGTCGGCCTACGAGCGAAGCCCGTAAGCAAGCCGACCGTGGTGGGAGCGACATTCCGACCGACTTACCGGGGAGCTGACCTTTTGGTTCTCCGTGGGGACTGAACCGATTCGAATGAGCCGTAGTGCTTACCATAGGCAAGTGGGGTATAAGCCTCCAAGAAACTGCCCGGGGAGATTAGTATCTGTTCGGTGTCACAAGTTGGGGTTGGGGTTTGGGGCTGATGGTATTTAGCCTAAAAGCCGGTGGAGGCGGCTGGGAACTACGATGATTTTTTATTATTGATATTAACACTGATGGTAAAGAGGTTGTTTTCTCATTTTAAGGCATCTAAATTCTACGTCCTGGTCTCGCAGTATATGGATGGGGAGATAAGGTGCTTACCACGGGAGAATAATAATTCATGGGTGCGATGGCAGCAGCTTATCTATCTCGCTAGCAAATCCCAGCGTGGTGTGGCTGAACTTTGGTTGCTTGTTAGGCCAGAATCAGCTCACCGGAGGCATCTCGGCCCAACAAAAGGAAACAGGTGCTGGACAGCATCAACGGCAAATGGAACAGCCGGCGGGGGGATTCGGCAATCCTGCCTGGGGAATGTTGTATCGGCCGACGCCCGTGCGGATTCGGTGAGTCAGAAAAACTAGGGCAACTCCACGGGGAGAGGAAAAGAAGGATGGAGGAAGGAGGAGACGATCCCCTGGAGTGCAGCGACACTAACCGCCTTTTCGGTAAGGCGGCGAAGGGGCCGCCTGAAATCGGCCCTCTTTTCTGGAATCCTCGCGCGGATGCGACGGCGCCCTAAAGCTTGACCGAGGCTTGGATTCGACGCTTAAAGCTTGCCTCCCGACACCGGATTACCCTGCACCCAACTCGGTCTTCCCCCGAAGAGATGGAGAACACGGCTGGAACTGGAGAAAAGCTGGAGTCGAAGCTTATGCGCCATCCATCTCATTGGTAGACCCTCTGCACCCTCACCGGCCAGTGGAGTTTGGTCATGGCAAGACTGCAATCGGGGAACGTCACGCGGCGGGCTGCTGATGCTTTTGCCCCTCGCGCCGCACATATTTCTTTTCCTTATTAAAAGTCTTTCGTCCCCTGATGATTTGATCTATGTTTCTTGTTCTGTTCCCGTTGACCTGAACTCCCCCTGAGCCTGGCGTTGCGACCATGACCGAGGAATCCCACGTCGGCGACCTGTTCGCCACCGCCGACCAGAAGCAGGAGATTTCTGATTTACACCGTGAAACTCTTCCTCTGGTCGTCACTGAGGAGGAAGCTTTGGCTCGCGCCAGGAACCAGCCCGATGAAGCCCTCCCCTTGCGCATCACTTTTGGCCCGCAAGATCGGGACAACCCCCGCTGCTGGGGTCGCTGGCGCAAGTGGTACATCACCCTGTTTGCCAGTTTTCTGAACGTCATCACGTAGGTCTACTGCCAATCGCCTGTTTGTTGGCCCTACTAATCCTTATAATCCAGAACTTGGTCTTGTGGTTCCTTCTCCTCCGGAGCCACCGGCATCGCGGAGCATTTCCACGTGTCTACCGAAGTCACCACGCTATGCTTGTCCATGTATGTGCTGGGATATGCCATTGGACCTGTCTTGCTGGCTCCTCTATCCGAGTACTTCGGTCGCCAGCCCGTTTATATTGTCTCGTGGTTCATCATGTCCCTTTTCCAGATGCCTCTGGCACTGGCACCCAACATTGGCACCATTATTGTCTGCCGTTTCATTGCCGGTTTCGCAGGTGGTGCCCCGTTGACCAACACGGGTGGTACCATCAGTGATCTGTGGGAGCGTAACCATAGTGGTGGCCCCATGGCCTTCTACGGTCTTAGTAGCACGTTTGGCCCGCCCATGGCCCTGGTGGTCAGCGGCTACATTGGCCTGAACCTGAACTGGCACTGGATCTTCTGGATCATGATGGCCATCACCGGTGGCACCTGGATTGCGCTGGTCCTCACTATCCCGGAAACCCGTCACAGTATCATCCTGCAGCGTAAGGCATCCCGCGTGCGCAAGCAGATGCAACGCGAGGGGCTGCGCTCCGCTGGGACCACCACCGACCTCCACGCAGAAGACCGCAAGGGCCTGCACCAGTTGTTCGCTATCACCCTCACTCGTCCCTTCCGCTTCCTGTTCACCGAGCCCATCACCACCTTCTCCGCCATCTACAATGGCTTCCTTTACGGCCTGGTCTACCTCTTCAACGAAGCCTTCCCCCTCGTTTTTGGCGAACCCAACGGCCACGGCTTCAACGTCGGCCAGCAGGGTCTCTGCTTCCTGGGTATGGCCATTGGACCCATCATCGCCTGCGCCCTGTCCCCGCTGCAGGAGCGGTACTACCTGCGTCGCGTAGCCGAGAACAGCGGCCGCAGTGTGCCCGAGGCACGTATGTGGATGGCCCGTGTCGGCTCCCTGCTCATCCCGATTAGTCTGTTCTGGTTCGGCTGGACCAGCTACCGGTCCGTGCACTGGATTGTCCCCATCATTGCGTCTTCGTTCTTCGGTGCGGGTCTCTACATCGTCATCCTCAGTATCCTCAACTACGTCGTCGACAGTTACCAGACCTACTCTGCCTCCGCGTTGGCCGGTGTCATCCTCGTCCGGAACCTCGTCGGTGCTGGATTCCCCCTGTTCGCCACGCAGATGTACGAGAAGCTCGACTATGAGTGGGCATCCAGTCTGCTGGGCTTCATTGCCATTCTGCTCGTACCGATTCCCTTCATCTTCTTCTACAAGGGTCGTGCCATTCGGCTGCGCAGTCCTTGGGCGCGCGAGCACTTTGACTCGGATGAGGATAGTCCCCATTAGTCTGGTTCCACTGCAAAAGTGTCTTGTCTTGTCTGTATATAGGTGCATCCGTATGACGTTATGATAGCAATTAGATGCTTAATACTACCACATTATCTTCCTCTATACCTCTATACTCCATGCACAGTTTCATAGTTGTAGACCTATAGTTAAGGCACCTGGCCTTGACGTCGACATTTTAATCCGTTCCTCGCCCCACAATATATATTCCACCACAACCCACCTTTAACACCCACACCACTTACTAGTACCTCACACTTCTCTCACAATCAATGTAAATCCCCCTAAATCAATCCAAATGCCATCCTCATCCGTCATTTCCATCCCTAGAAACAACAGTGTACGTAAACAGCGCAACTATCGCCTAGCGCCATCATGGCGAAGTAGCCTCGGTCGGGGATAAACGGCACAGTGCCGGCTGCGATCGGAACAAGGGAGTGCCTAACGTCACGAGTGTGGCAACTGTAGGCCTGCTTGTCGAAAGACCTGCAATGCCATGCCATGTGCTGTGCCATGTCAGACCCATCGTGGTGGACAGTGACGTTGGACTGTGGGGACCAAGCAACTCAGTCTGGGGGATGGGGTCGGGGAATCAAGTTGAGGGTCACTGGTTCATAGGATTGCATAATAGAGTTGCTGGATTGGGTTAGTGTGGGATTGGGGGTGGATTATGTCATGTGGATGAGTAAGGAGGGGGCTAAACTATATTGGGAAGGTTGTGGAATTGTTCTTGATTTGGATGAGACGCGAGACGCGTTTGTTATAAAGAGTTGTGTAGTCTTATTTTTCACATAATATCGAGATATTCAGATTATGGATTTATAATACATACGTAGAAAAACATGGTATTTATCCATCATCTAGAAACGGCCACATCCTCCTCGCCTCCGGTGATTTCTCATCCGCCATGCGCTCGATAAACATTGCTAGTAACTCCCGGTTCTGGCGTCGCTTTTCCTCAATATCCAGCTCGGGTGATATCCATCCTTCTGTGTCTGTGTCGAGACACTCCTGAGCAAGATGCTGAACCTCATGCCAAGCCTGGTACTCCACAAACTGTCGCTCGTGCGTCTCGATATCCTCCTCAGTGAAGGAAAATGGACACGATCCGGTAAAGCCTAGATCGGCCCAGTTCTGAAAGATTTCGATCAGACATGCTCGGAGGGGAATAACACCCATCTCGGATACCTCTCCACTGCGGATGAATAGTTCTTGAATTACTCGTGGTATATTTCTCGCAATATGTGCTGGTCGGTTCTCGAGGTAGGTGGAGACTTCGTACGCTTTTGCCAGCTTGGCCTGCGACCACTCGCGTCGGGCTAGCAACTTGCTCTCATCGTCCATATTGTCGTACCCATCAGGAAGCTCGGGATGCGCGAAGCCTTGCGTGTAGTTGTCTGGGGGCTTCAAGAACTCGGGCCAGCGCGACTGGAGAAAGGCGGGCATTACCGCTAGAGACTGGAAATCAATGATTGAAACTATTCTAGTACTGTCTTCGGGTGCCACGTATATATTACCCATGTGGAGATCGGTGTGCCAGAGAGTAGGCTGTGCGGATTGGCCTAGTAGTGGGTGAGAGTCTAACATGGGCATAAGGCGTATTGTGAAATTAAGGAGTTGAGATTGTTCTTCCAAGGTGCCTCGATAGAACATGGCTGATTTGTTTGGTGGTATACCGGAGATGCGGGATAGCTCACGCTCTGCAATAGCTATACCAAGTCCCGATAATGTGGTCCCTGTGACATGATAAGGCTAAGTCACTTTCCGGGTACAGTAGACATACAAGGCCCTCGATCAGTAGGTTTGTTTGACGGTGTAGGTTGCTCGGCACACTGGGTGTCAAATGACCGGTCAGGAGAAGGGCCGACACTAAATGACTGCGATGGATCAACATTGTCATCGAGCAGTAAACATCGATAATCTGAGTTCTGTAGATAGTCGCGCAAATATAAACCACCGTAGGCAGGAAACCGGATAGCTGATAACTGTGCCTCGAGCTTTGTCAAGTTCTGAACAAGCTGCAACTTCTGTGGTTCTGTCATAACCCCCCATCTACGAAACAAGGGAACGCCGGCAGCTTTCTCCATTATTATATACTCGGCACCTACAGAACTCGCTTTATTAGAGGACCATTGGAGCACACGAGGAACTGGAATATTGGTGTTTCTGTGTACTATGAAGATAGCGTCAGCAAAACATGTATAGCCTCAATGAGGTACACCAAGGATGAAGGATGAAGAAAAATTTCATACAGTATTTTAAGACACCCACCTCGGATGCCGTTGTAAGTTCTGCAGGTCCTGCAATGCGACAAGGGAGCTTGGCAACGACCTCGGTTCCATTTTCCTTGTTCATCAGTAGAGCCTTGCTAAAGCCACCCTCCATTTTCTCCACGCTTAATACGGGAGACGGATCGACGCCGACAGCCGTAGCTACGTTGCAGAGAGCATCGAGATCGAATTTCACGTAACGCCGGGCCAGCTGATGCTGTTCATCGACCAGGAAATGGCCGTTGGTATATGCAAAAAGCTCATCCGGGCTGATTGACTTTCCTAACCCAACATTAGCAATCTCCTAGTTACTATGTCTGTTCCATTAATTGGTGGGTGAATACCGCGACAAAGGATGGACAGCTGGGCTGTTGACTGCAAGTGGTATATCCTGTTGAGCCCTCTCGAAAGGGAGAACATGGTATTCACCGTGGTTGCCGTGGTATGCAGATTGAATTAGCTATCATCTCACAATGAGCGAGCTAAACAATGGATGTGAGAGATAAAGGAAGGCAGCATCCCTGTATCAATACTATGCTATAATAGGATTAGCGCCTGATATACGTTCTATGGGACCGACCAAATTAAGCTGGTAAACCCGCCTTTTACATTGTGGCCAGCGGTAGGTGTCTTGCGACATGATTGTTTACCCAAAATGAGTTTCTGTTGTAAGACGTCTTAGTACTAGAAAATTAAGCCACTGCATCATTCCTCCGAAGGTACGTAGTCCATCATCTGGGATTAATATCTAATCCTCATCCTTGTGAACCTTACGCTCGAATTGTTCGATAAACTGCATCCCTACCCGGCCCGGATCGAGACAGAGATAACGAAATTCTCTCCAGAATTGGAGGGCATCAGTATGATCAGGCATGTAATCGGGCAACAGCATCCTCCACTCTTCGTCATCACCATAGAAGTTCGTAACACAGGAGGAAGCAGACTCCCACCATACAGGCATGTATGCGGCCGTCTCCCAATTAATGATCCCGGTAACACAGCCATCCTTGACCATGATGTTGGTGTAGCTAAGATCCCCATGGGTAAAGGTATACGGCGTAGATGGTGGCATGCGACTTCGTAGTAGTTTTCGCACGCGCTCGGGAACAGCTTCGTGCAATCTAGACTCTAACTCGGCCCAGAGTTCGTCATCAGATGCGAATGGGCCACAAGGACGGACGTCCTGATAATTTCCGAAACGAAAGTTGGTAGATACCGGTCCGCCATCGAGGGATTCCATGCGATCGGAATGAAGTTTGCGAAGTTCAAGCACATAATTGGCTGTCTGTTTTGCGATGCTTTCTCTCTGCTCGGAGGAGAGCCTTCGCCAAACAGTGCTAAGTGGCTGTCCAGGAGGGCTCTCCATCAATGTCAGGGTATGATCATCTTCTTTCCAAGTCTTGACGATCTTCGGGACCGGGATGGAAGTTTGTTCCTGCACGAGTCGGATATTGGACGCCTCGTCGGTTGGAAGATTGTGCCCTCGATCTTTGAGGATCAGTTCGGATCCCAATGACCAGACGCCTCGGTCGCCTGCCTGAAAGAACAGTTTGACATGACTTTTGTAGTCATGATCATATTCCTCCCAGCCGCAGGCCTTGCAAACCTGTGAGGGGTACATGATGAATGAATCGTGAGTGTGTCTTTGTAAAGGGTGATGGTCTGGCGAGGACAGGTGAGAAGTAGTGTGTAGTCTTTTGAGGGATAGAGATGGATGTATATATAGATTCAGTGTTTAACAGATGTGCACTGAGGCTCCATCTATTCCATGCTTAGCCATAAGGAAAGACAGGGTGCTGCCGTCGGTGAAAGCGCTTGCGGGAAAGGTCGAGATGCATACTTCTAAGTGCATGGGTCTGCGGCGGACTGATTGTATGCTAAGATTGGATTTGTAAAGGCAGGTATTTGGCATTAATCATGTGCGCAACGTCACTGACAGTGCACACACCTCCCAGATCTCATAATTTTCAAGATCAAGCCTTCAAAACACCAAGGCGGATGGTGAATTCCAGAATAGCGCCTAATTGGCGCCCATCTCCACGCAATATCCGATGAGCTAATAATATCTCAACTCCACCCGCCATCACAGGATTTTGCCATTTTAAACTACAGCCTCGTCTGGTCAGTACTAGGCATCAGGGCACAGTTGTCGCGGTAGCTGCCTCCGAATTACCTCGCCAACTGTATAAGTTCATCGAGATACGTCGGCAGCCCCCAGATGGCACGAACTGATTATCATCTCTGGAAATTTCCCTTCCTACTACACGCACCTCACAGATACGCTGAATTTTGGTGCCCCGAAAATATACACTCTCATCCCCAAGTTGGTGTACCCATCCCCAGTCAGTGTATATTCAACTAACCACCCCAGACAATGTCGCTCATTGCCGGGGATGTTAATCGCATGAGACTTTGGGAGGACGCTCGGACACCTGCCGATGAAAGGGCTGTCTTCAGGCTGTGAAGCCATTTGTTTATGAAACATCTTTTTTCCAGCAAAGACAGGGGTGTCTTCTATAAACCCACACCAGAGGATTCTCCCCGTCAACGCCTGGATATCACCATAGAGCATTATGGTGTACGCCATGCCACTGTCGCTGTCGATCTCGATTTCGATGTCGAAATGATGGAATTCTGCATTTATGAGCCAGTGGCGTTGGAATCAAGTCTTCAGGATCTTGACGGACTTGTGAGACATGCATTCACAGTCTGTAAGGCCTATCTTCTAGATCACCCCGGTTTGGCAAGGGTGTATGCGTTCACGGCATTTGGTACTAAGTGTAGAGCATGGTCTTGCTCGAGGGATGATGGATCCCTAGTGCCGCTATTTGGCTCACCGGACTCATCTGATCCGCGTCATTACGTTGATATTCACTCCCTGGAGGCTTCCCGGATTAATGAAGTTATACATTTGATGAAGAATGAATGTGGAACCCATGATAGTGTTGAAGTGTGATTAGATGTTAGCAGCAGGCGTGTCATGTATCCACCGCCGGGGTTGCTAAATAATTACCTGTGCTTATTATGCGTTTTGGTTTTTTGATTTCATCTATGCGCTAACAGCCTTTTGTCGCGTATGCTCTGTATAGGTTCTTTTTCTTTTCTTTTTTATAAGGCACTTTGACACAGCCAAAAGTGTCTGACCATGAGACTGCGAATTGGATGTCAATTCCAGTGGAATGATCCGATGAATACTACCTAAGGCTTAAGGTTCAGGTCGCAGGATACTCTCTTAATGTTTATTTTCTAGTCAATGGCAATGTCTCGATGTTATTTCTCACACTCGTTTCATCAATGCCGCATAGTGCAACAAGTAACATAGTAGATGCGTGATGTATAGTGACTGGCTGACATGGTCGTGGGCTTCTTTTTTATTTGTAAAGCCAGCACCACTCATGTGGCATTTCACATGTGGACCGTCGAAGGCTTGAACTCATCCCCTATGTTAGACAGAATTTATCCTAAATTATGAATTATATTCCAAGATATGTTGAGAAGCAATGAAATCTGCTATCCATTAGTCATCGTAAATGGCAAGCCTATCTTCCACCTCACAAAACCACCATGCGAGTATTCCCTCAGCAGGCAGAACCTGCTGGTCACCCGGATGAACCGTAGACTCTACTTTGTCCTTTGCACTTCGGATGTCTTTGATATACTCCCGCCCATCATTAACTCCTTTCACAACAATGATAGGACTGCATATATCTTCACCCAGTCCGTAATCCCAGCGGATCTGTCCACTGGACTCGACATGACCGTCGTCATAGAACATTAACATGCCCAGACAGGGATGATGTGATCTCATCCGATCCCTGCATACTTGGACCTTAACAAGACCTCTCAGTGTGGCCTTGGTCATAAACCAGTGTTCGAACAATTTGTTGCGATTGCCGCCTGGAAACTCCGATAAATCACGTATTGGGACCAAGATTGGGGTCTGGCCATTGCGAGGGCTATGGCAGGTAACTCCGCACACCGTGACATAGCTGGACCCCGGATCCATGCCGTCATGATAGATTCCGGAAACAGGTCCATCAACATCCCAGAGCATAGGATGATACCGCCGATTCGCGAGATAGTGATCCGGAGCCTGGGCCCCAAAGGTTACGTGTCTTCCTAGAGAGGTTTGCAGCTGGCTGGTCAGTCACTGAAGCAAATTATAGATGGAAGCCCCTACCGTCAGTGCGTCGATGTATCTGTACCCCGGGGCAGTAGTCCAGCCCCGGAGCCAGGCTCCCTGGATCTGTTCCTGATCATTGAGTGGAAAATAAATCCAATATACATGGGGGAGGCTATCGTCCCGCCCTACGCGTTGATGCATCTCTTCAATGAATTTATTGAACATTTTGTTTGTGCCGGAGAAATCGTGAAACCCGACAATTCCATGGATGGTACAGCAGACAAGAAGGCCTTGGACTTGGGGACCAAGTTTCGTGTAATGCAGTCTAACCGAACGCACCCGGTTAAAGGGAGTTTGGACCAATTCGTGGAGAGCGGGCGCAAAAGGCGAGGTCCATGTCAGGGATTCCGACCCTGAATATTGCCAATTAACCAATGCAATTCTCTGCATCAGCAGGCACTAAATCGGTCAGACGCTGCCCAGATACTGGAGTGAATAAGCTTACATGACGGTATACCCCTAGTTTTGGATGAGGATTCTGCACGTTGAATATTTCATACCAGGGTGACTGATCTTCTGTCGGAGTAGCATCACGGTTGAGAAACTGAATCCCACGCACACCGATGTGGTCCTGTGAAATAATAACTCTGTGAATATTCCGAGGCAGCTGAACTTGAAACACATCAGCCCCTTCAGCTGCCTTTAGTGGTGTGTTGCTGAGCTGTGCCACGTAAGAATGATCCCTACAGATAATTCGCGACATCCATATGTCTTTGGTGAGGTCGAGTTCATCTTCTTGAGGCTCTTTGTTCTGTCTACCATAGTCAATGAGCCGTCGCGTCTCTCCTAGGATAGTCAAGTACCAGCATGAACCAACAAACTCCGAGATCCTGCGTCGTATCTCAGGGGGTAATTTACCAAAGAAGTCTTCCTTGAAGGACTCTGGAATGATCCAGGCAGTATACCTGGACGCCAGACCCTCTAAAACGGTTCCAGGATTTCCACGTTCTGGATAGGACCTTGGATAGAGTTCTTCCGTGGCAAGTGCGAATTTTCTGATATCCTTCAAGGACGGCTTGTCAGATGGCTCGTAGCTGGCCATTAGAAGCCGAAGACACCTTGTATGAATGCATAGCAATGGGTTTGGCTCCGCCTTGCAGAATACGCAGTTTTTTTCACAATCGGGTACAGTTTGTGGAGGAAATCCATCCTTCTCGAGGTCTGCAGTTGGGTTAGATGATACTGCGCGAAGCTTCGAGGGGCTAAGGGCCTACCGATTATGCGTTCTCCAGCAGTCGGGTGATCCACGCATAGAGCGCAATACCTTCGCGACACATGGATATCTTCTGTCATGGCTATGAGCGGGCGATCTTTGATGACAACTCTTGGTCTTTCCAGTCATTCTTGGTGCTGGCACATTAGTGGGAGCTGTATTTTTTTATATAGTATTAGTAGTAGACAAACTACTATAGCAGTGCGACCAGGAATGGCAGCTTCCAGTCACTCGATTCAGATGATGAAACCAAACAAAGAGCTAGTTCGGGACCTGCCCCTTCATAATGAGGCGCCCTGTTCCCCCTTTGTAGGTTTCACAAGTCTGTGCCTGAGAAATTATAGAACAACTCCAAATGCCCAAGTTTTGTGGATATTGTTACGGCCAAATGGCAAGCATGTTGGAAAATCGCGTGGTTCTACCTTCCAACTGTGATGTTAACCACTGACTGAGCGACAATTTATTCAGTGGTAGTCGTCGGGAGGTTTGATCCCATCTGCATATTCTGTGCCACCCACAGTTCATTGTTTCTCGATAGGAGCACTGGGTTACATCCGCTCAATATGATAAAGAGCTTCGGAAGTCGTATTCAGAAGAACCCACTGCTGAAAACAGCACATCACCACATTTGTGCTGCTATAGAGCGCACACAAGGACGACTTTCGGTAGTTATCAAGATCCCGTAGCTCATCTGACAACAGCTCTATTAAGATCCCTCTAATTCGGTGACTAGAATTTCCGAAGAGGAAAGAGGAAACAAACAAGGTTCAATGAACGGATCTCGTATCCATCGTTCAACCATGGAACCTCCCTCCGACTGACTTTCCCCGCCGTTCCGGCCCAACCCCGAATCACCACCATCAGGAGATTGCCTCATCTGAAAGCCCTCCGATATTATATCTCATGAAAAGAAGAAACGTCGATCCTAGGATACACCTATGGCCTTCTATGCTGCTGCCAGGAAACGCCCCCACCGCAGCATCCACGACCCGGAGGTGCGCCCGCTGCGTCTAGCCGTACTGAAAGCCGCCACCATCAATTTGCTCATCTTACAACTCCTCTTTCTCGGCCTGTTCTGCTATCTATTCGGGTCTATCTTTCAACAAACCACCCATATCCACAACCTCAATGTCCTCTTCGTCGACTATGATGGCGGGGCCATCGGTAGGGCTGTGCGCACTGCCTACCAACAACTGCAAGGGGCCGGCTTCCCGACCCTCCGCGAGCAGTCAGCCGAGGTCTATCCCAATCCCGCGTCGATCGTCTCCACCGTCTGCAATATTCACTACTGGGGTGGCTTTTACATCGCCGCAAATGCTTCTTCGCGTCTGTCAGCTGCTCTCACCGGCATCAGGACAGCAACCTACAATACAAGCGATGTCATGACCCTAGTCTGGAATGAAGCGCGCTACTCCACCGTCGTGGATTCTGCTATCCAGTCCAACATCCTCTCTCTATCCGAAGCTGCTCGCATCGTCTACACGACCACCAATGGCCCATCCATTCTCCAGACGGTGAACACTTCCGACCAGACAGCCATCACCACTCTCGCTGACCCCTGGACGCTCTCCACCATTAACATCCAACCCACCACCCAAGGCTCCCGCCTCATTTACAACACCCTCGTCGTCATCCTCATCCTCATACAAGAATTCTTTTATCTGGGCTACCTCAATGGCCTCTACCAGCAATTCCACCTGTACACCTCCGTCGACGCGCACCGCATAGCCATCATCCGCCAGCTCATCTCAGGAATATACACCTTCATCGGATCGCTCTGCACGACGGGTGCGATCTGGGCCTTCCGATACGGTTGGCATGTCAACGGCGGCCAGTTCATGATCACCTGGATGGCGCTGTGGTTGTTCGCGCATTTGAACTTTCTGGTTCTGGATGTGTTTACTATCTGGTTAGCGCCGCCATTTGTCCCCATGGCGCTTATATCATGGGTCGTGCTGAACGTTTCATCAATCCTGTTGCCATTTGAGCTATCTCCTGGCTTTTATAAGTGGGGATATGCGCTGCCCGCGCATGCTATATTCCAAGTCATGGTGGATATTTGGTCCGGTGGGTGTAATCCGCAACTTGATTATGCGTTGCCGGTACTGTTTGCGTATGAGGTGGTTGGGATGGTGCTCAGTAGCCTCGGGGTGTATCGTCGGGCGCACTATGCGGTTCTGGCGGAGGAGGCGAAGAAGGAATCACAGGAGCGCTTGGCTGTTGAGGCAGAGGGAGAGGCAGAGAAGGAAACCCCTGGTACTAATGGAGGGGAGGGACCAGCCGGGGAGGCAGAGGCAGAGGAAGGGGAACCGTCAGAGATGCAGCCAGAGGGATTCGGAGAGCGCATGAGGCAGGAAATGTCACGGCTGGAGAGAGTGCACACCAGTCGGCAGAACACGGGGCCATCCTTCGATCTGCCATACACCGACTAGCTACTGGGGAGAGCCTATCGTATATAATTAATCGCAACCAATATGATCACTCTGCATTGAATCCTGCCTTTAGCACGCAACGAAGCATCTCTATCCCGTCTACCTCCCAAACCAAACCAATCTACTCAAACAAACCATTCCAAAATCCCCTCACCCCCTTCCTCACCGGAACCACCAACCCAGCCTCATACTCATCAATCTCCTTCTTCAAGCCCCCAAGCCCCAAATCCGCTGTCCCCGGCCACACATACCTCGTCCGCTTAACCACCTTCCAAAAGCCATATGCGACCACAAAAAACCCAACCATGGTATAATCCAAAAAGAACGTCTGCACATCCCATTGCCCATCGATGAATATCTCGAACCCAATAATCAGCGTCATGACTATCGTCCCCACTAGCGCAAACCAGCCCGCATACGGTTGCAGATAGCCCTTATAGGGAAGTGTATCGCGGGATATACCCTGTCGGCGCAGTGCAGCATAGAAGTGCAGGTATGTGATGCACGTGCCGACGTAGTTGAGGAGGTATGATGCGACGATTATTCCCACGAGCCAGTTCAGCACCGTGGAGGAGTTGTTGCTTACTTGGAGGAAGCCGAGGAGGCAGAACGCTAGCGATGCGGCGACGGCGTAGTAGGGGAGGCCGTTACGGTTGCAGCGCGCGAAGAGGGTCGGGGCGCGGCCTTCGAGCGCCATACCGTGGAGGGTCCGGGCTGCAGAGAATACGAGGTTGTTGCCGGCGGAGAAGACGGAGGTCATGATTAGGGCGTTGACGATGTCTGGGAGGACGCGGATGTTGAAGTGGTTCATGGAGATTACGTAGGGGGAGCTGGAGGGGTTCTCAGGTATTAGAGGGGATAGTGTCGATTATGATTTGATTGATGCGACTCACGCAGCTCCCGTTCCACTTCCTTGTTTCGTCCCTTCTAAGGTGGCAGCAAGGGTGGGATCATTGTAGGGGATGAGTATGCCCATTGATAGAGCACCCAGGATGAAGAATGTTACCAGTCGCCATGGGTACGACGCGTAGGCCTTTTTCATCACTCGTCGTGGTCGAGCTGCTTCTGCGGCTGCCATGGATATGTATTCGGGGCCGACCATTCTGTTGCAGTGGTGAGTTTGATACAAACGCAAATTACGTGTGTGGGTTGGTCTTACGTGAAAGAACCTTGTATCATGCATGCTAGAACGCCGCAGAAGCGTCCAACGCCACCGGATACAATGTAGGACACAAATGCCCCCTGGAGTTTTCATGTTTGCCATTAACCAACCCTATATATACCTGTTGATAAGAGAATGCACCCACCGGGTCTCGCCAGTATCGGAAGCCGTATACATCGTGGCGTGGATTGCCTCCGACCATGGTGATGAAGGTATACAGCAGAAGTCCGACCATGAGGAATATCTTGAAGGAAGACAGATAGAACTCAGATACTCCGAAGAAGCGAACGGTAAATATGTTCAACAGTCTGATATTGCATGAGGTTAGATACATGTGCAATGGCTGTGGAGGAAACGCGTACGTATAAAGCACCAACATAATCACCACCACAGCAGCTACAGGCACACGATCGGTCCAGTAGGTAAGGAGGATGTTGATGGCGACTATCTCGTATGGTATTCCGAATGCTGTCAACGTTAGCACTTCATCACCTGCAGAAAGGTGATTCGACCAACCCATGGTGAAGAAGAAATTCCAGCCCATGGCAAAGCTTAGGGCATCATCCACCCAGTGACCGGCGAGGCGGATGAACGGCGAGGGGATAGGCAAGTAGCAGACCATCTCCGCTGCAAGAGTCAACCCAGCTCCATGGGACAAAGTTTTGACTAGACCAGCTCACCAAAGCATTGATTGACAGCGAGTACGATAGGCGTGTACGCGAGAAAGCCGATTAAGAGACCTGCAGGGCCAGCCTTAGGTAACATGGCACCCATCTGAACAAATAGCGCTACAGACAGTCAATCAATATGATGAGATAATTGCTGGCAGCTGATTCACTGGCATGCCGAGACGTACATGTTCCAATGGCTCCCCCGACCGCGAAGAGCTGAACTTCTTTCCCGCCCAGCTTGCGATGCAAATACTGCGATCCTGCCGTGATATTCGGGGCTTCCGGGGACTCGGAAGCATGGTCGCTGGCTTCGGCCACACCAGGGTCGGGAAGGCGGTACTTGTTATCCATGTTTGACAGCTGTGCGTTCCGTATCCCTGGCCACGAGCATCACCTTTTATTTAACCGCCGGCACACGAGCATATCGCTTTCACAGCTTGAGATTACACCCCACGTTCTCGCATTAGGAGCACGGCGTTAGGGCGTTTCGGGCGGGGTTCGGCCTATGAGAGGAAAGTATCCACTTGAGATGCAGATAGCTCTGTGCGATCATCATGGCCTGTCATCGGATCGAGACGTTGGGCAGCCGGCGATCGTGTAGCCTGACCCTGGCCGAGATGGTAACGGAGGAGCGAGGCGGCATTTATTAGGAGCGAAGCGGCATTGTTTTCGAGGGGGATATTATCTAGGATTCTAGAATAAGTCGAGAAACGAGATTAAATTGGCTGTCAACGAGCCAATTGACCGCGAAATAGCATATGTCGCGTGTAAGGATCAGGTTAAACACGAACGATCGACATAACCTTCGATGACACGGGATAAGGATGGCAATGATTACGTGGATCACTTAAATCTAACCGAACATTTCTATCATCTCTTCTATCAGATATTTGTATAAATTCACACCAGGACCAGCTGGTGACATATCGGCGCTTAAACTGCAGGCAAAGAAACCGAACCCAAGAGTATCCCGAGAAACACTAGACATTCTCGGCCTATAAGAGTCATTGGTGCTAACACTCTATTCCAAGAAAGGCAGTCCAACCCAGTCGGACTCCTTTTCCGATGGCTCCTCAGCCGTACATCGGTCACACCCGCAGACGAATCTGAACAGACCCTGAAGGTGATCTCGACGGGACTTAAGGTCGACGCGTTTGCTCAAGTCGAAATAGGATATGCAGCACTCCTCGCCGGCTGCAATGTCCTTCGAGGCAGTAAACACCATTCGTCCGTGATGATCGGGTTTATGCATGATCTGGACCGGTCATATTAGCTAATAGTCAAGGGTGGACTTGGAGGCTCTTACATTAGGACTGCACGAATGGTTAGCAATCGCTGCTCGAGGATAAACGGCCGCACCAAACTGCTCTCCCCGGTCGACAGGGGGTTCTGGAACAGGATATACACCCGTCTCCCGCGGATACAAGCCAAATGAGTTGGCTTCCTCCCGGCAGATCAGAGCCACGATCTCGTCAACGCTTAGGTCGTGTGGCAAGATCGGACTACTGCGAAGATACTTCTTCACCAACGCTGTCCATGATCGCACCTGGGCGTGTGACCAGCTCTCTATCGAGCCACAGAAGGACTGGATGGCTTCCCAGCCACCCTTGAAACGCTGAGTCGTTTCGTTATTGGCATCAAGCAGCTGCTGTCGCTCCGTTTGGCGTGAGGCGAGGATGCGGACAATCAGCCACATCATGCCGAAGTCGTATTCGCCCCATTTTGCGCGGATGGGCGAGGCGTATCTCTGCAGCCAGGTGCACTCGAATTCATGGCGCAATTGATCAGCTTCCTGGCAGGTCGAACTGCACCAGACTACATCTGCGAGACAGCGATTGGGACACGAGATTCGTCCCGAACTGTGCTGCGTCTGACGACTACAGGTTGGATTGCTGCACAGGAGACTATCGCTACTGGCCGGATCATCGACGACGGGAATGAGCGCATAGGGCACGTCAATCATCAGGAGCTCGCCCTTTCGGATGGGTTGCGAGGCACGCAGCTGGCGGCCTTTAATCGGCACCACGCCCTGCTCCAAATGGGGATGTACCCACGGAACGGACGCTGGACGGAATTTATTAGAGGCATTGAGATGTTCTGCAGTTGCGAGTAGCCGTTTTTCGACTGTCGTTGTTGATAAACTCATGATGGTGTGCTGCTTAGGGTCACTGGGACTCGGAGACTTGGGTTTGTTGTGACGCAGATGGGCTGGTTAATTCGGCACGCCATTTTACTCCATTTTTCTTCCTGTCCCTCTCCCAAATTTTTCTGCAGTTCGTCAGCAAGCTCTTATCTCCATTGCCAGATTCGGGTCCACTCGGATCTCGTCTGAATGGTCAATCGGTTTGCCATCACGGTCAAGGAGCCAATAACGACGGCAGCAGCTTGGAACCGCAAACCTCAGTGGATACTGCGGATCTCCCATGCCAAAGCCTGGACCGAAGCCATCGAATGCTGCAGACGGCACAAAAGGAAGTTAACAGCCAGCCATGATACGCTGCATATGCACCATCTTTCTCACACATGGCACCATTGAATGGCTGCCCTTAGTGGATTTGAATATGCAGAGGAAGAGTGAGACTGATCTTTTGGGGCGGGAAGAAATGCTGGAATAGGGCATTGTCTCGAAGTCGATGGTTTATCTGCACTAGACCTTCTTATCGATACCATTATTGATTTATCCGTGACATGGAAAGGGTGGATGGTGATATTGACTCCTAGTAAAGTGGCTTGTCGACGATCAATTTTTCATCTATTTGCTTGCTTTTCCTCTTCTCAATAATTGCGGGAGGCAAAGCTGCCTCAGGCAGTGCGCACACGGTTACTATGCCTTCTCTGATTGGCTGATTGATCACTTCCAAGCTGGGAAATCTTCAGCTGACTAACTTACCTAGCTTACCTAGGTAGATAGTAGTAACTTCTAGATTGGGACTAGCTCCGCACATGATCGATAATCTCCGCCTGAGGCAGCGATGGTTACACCCACGCACTCAAGAAGGACCAAGTACAACAAGCTCAGATGCTATTCCTAGATACAATTTTCAACTAGTTCTTCACTGCTTCCAGTTTCATCACCTAAGTCACGACGGCTCCTTACCACCCGATCAGCAAAACATCGCTGGCATACAAAGGAGAAAATGTCAGGATCCTCAGTCCGTCATCAGTCCATCTTGATAAAATCCTTCAACTCCAAACCTTCATCATCAAGGAACCTTCCTGCTCTAATTTCCCAGAAGTGGGCATCATGGCACTCGTGCTCGAGGTACTGCCAGCAGAGATACTTGGAACTCCTAGGATCGTACCAGCGCGGCTGCCTGAACCGATCAATGAGATTCGCAAGAGACGTGTAGCTATTGTGTGTGAAGGGCGCCCTGAACTCAGACCTGCTCAGTCCGTATACGCTCATGTTCTTCATAAGGGCCCCATACAGCATGGAACTGCATTCAAACGAGCAACCCCTCTTCCCGCTCAGGTATTCGTCTTCAACATGATAGATGTGGTCCATCAATCCTTCAATGGCCTTGATTCGGCGGGCGTTGATTTCTTCTAATTAGTTGTAAGCGAGCGTACTTCGTGTTATACCGGTTAGATATACACTTACCCACGATCGGTGCCGGAATCGGAAGACCCAGAGGCGGCATGTGTGTTTTTCCTTCCTTGATCAAAGCCAAGCTCGCTGCCTTGAAAACACCCGGCATTCGAAAAAATATTCCGATCCAGAGCCAGATCACAGACTCGCGGTAGCTGTCGTCGGGTCCTTGGGGGTCAAGCTTGGCAATCCATGGCCGAGCTGCAAAACGTACCGCATCACGGACATCATAGTAATCAGCAACCACACAGACCTTGCCCAACATCTCCAGGTCAACTTTGTCAGGAAGCTCATGGTGCTGGCAATGAATGATTCTCAGAACGTAGAGTAGCGCGTCTTCATCCCAACATTCTGCTGTTGTCGAGAGTCTTCCTTCCGCCTGGAATGTGTTGCTCTCTGCCATGCCGATGGTGAGAAGGGACCTAAAGTACGACGATGCGGCCATAAGATGCTTCGCCGATGCTTGGAAGATAACCACTGCCTCAGTGTCACTCTCATCGCTCATGAGCTGGAGCATCTTTTTCTCTAATTCCTCCCTGGCACGTCTGCGCGATATTCGTTCCTCTGCGGTCAGCAGTGAGCTGGGGAGTATGTCAACAGGTGGCCCGCCGATACCCCAGATGCCACTCTCCAGCTCAATCGCCTGGATTTCGTCGTCATCAGGCTCAACCAGAAATGGAACAGTCGTCAGCTTCTTATACTTCTCGTCCATGATTCCGGCGTCTATAGCCATTCCCATCCAACGTTGCAATAGCTCGTGGTCCACGACTTCAGAGCTGACCTTCTGCGGTCCTTCTTGTTGACAGGGAACGAATTCGCAATTAGGATACTTCAACGTAATATAGATCTCGCCTTCCAGATCAAGAATATAGTCTGGTGTCTCCATTTTTGATGTTTCCCTCTCGAGTCTGGGACTGATCTGACGTACTTTTCCAGGTGGGAAAGTGAGTTAAACAGTCAAGTTGTATGGGAAAGGTAAATGGGAGAATGGTAGATGAGAGAATGTGAGATGGAAGATTGTGAGATGAAAGCAACACTCCAGCATGGAGCTGAGAGGTAGTAGAATCCATGGCCAGTTTGAGGATTCACTGTCTTGCTCCGCGTTGGTGCTGTTCTGTGCCTCATTGGGCGATCAGAGAGGTTGAATTGAATGGCAGACCCGCGTTGGAACATGCAACTCGAGACTCTCTGCTCCCAGCCGCACTGGTTCGGACACACTCATCCGAGTAAAATGCAGAAGATGGAGGGAAAGACGGCGAAGCAGGCTTTTATATGGTAAATTTGAGCACCAGTCCCGTGATGGCCGATTACTGCACAGTGTCATGAATGTTCGGCGTGAATCTAGCTCTCCGTGACTATCAACATGAAGCACCAGTCCAGTCACAAAGGTTCAGCGAATGGCCGCCGCCGCCACTAATGCTTCACAGGCAGAACTCTGTGTTGACGCATCAGCAGCAGTGAAAGGCCCTGACCAGACGGGGCCGAGTTGATCTTCATCGCCCCGGTCATTCTGCCAGATGCTGTTGGCATTTTGCTGCAGAAATTGCTTCAGCCCGTCGTCAGGACTGACCTGGTACAGCATCTGAAGGTTTCGCATCAAGATACCTTTAAATTGTGGCGCATCCCCAGTGCAGTTCGGATCGCAGGATTCTTTGAGTATCCCATTGGTATCGCCCAATGCCTGCATGGCTGCATCAGCTATTCGGTGCGCCGTGGTAAGATACGATGTGTTCGAGACCATCTGCGACAACTCGACCAGTCCTCCTAGAATTACGCCCTGGTTGTAGCTCCAAACGGTGCCGTTGTTATTGTGACATGTCGTCAGATCCAGCCCATCATTAATGGTGTTTTGGCTATTGATCAACCCACTATTCTCGAACCAATCCCATTCTTTCATTGCCCAGTCACGATAGTAAGACGCTTTTTCGGTATCCCGACGCCCTAGATGAGCAGCGACGCTCAGGAACAGCTCATTTTCGATAGCGTTGTTGCCAGTATGATCCTTGTCCCACCAGATCCCACCGCATGTAGTATCCCACCCGCCTGTCATATCATCAAAGATGTTCACTGCGGTATCCAGGTATCGCCGATCCTGAGTTAAATCGTAGGCCTGAATCCACGCCAAGGCCCACCACCCCTCGTCGTCGTAGTAGTCATTGAGAAATTCAGTACTAGATTCGGTGTCGTTCAGGGGTACTTGACGCTTATATTGGGAGGTTGGTTTGCGAACACTATGTGAAAGAGTTGAAGTTGGGGCTTGGATGAATGTATTGTTGAAAGTTGCCGAGCTCGAGTTGAGCATTGAAGGGTCCAAAGCCGTGAGATCGCCCAGCACGGTGAGGCAAATAGCACTATTCCACCAGCCGGTCGTATCCCACAGCCCGGTTGTTTGATTATACCATCCCTGCAGCGTATTCACGGCAGATTTGGCGTTGTCAAGGTATGGTGTGGTTGAGCTGAGGGTTAGTTGAGTGGGAGATGAGGCGACGATGGGGGCAAGCCCCAGAAGAGTATATACTGCTGATGCGATCATTGTCAGAATATGAGAGATGTCAGAGGACACAGTGTCTGACGCTGCTGCTTATATCTTGTGGGCGCGCCTGGCGCCGATCCTGATGTCATGTGGCATGCTCACGAGGCTTCTGAAACACAGGAATCCACACCGATGGCTGGAGAGGGTCAGACTGATAGATGTCCAATCTCCATATAAGAGCGTACACTTCCTTCATATAAATAGTACGGCCTCCGATGGCACATGATGTTTGGGTTACACGCAAGGCAGGTGATTAGGGATCTGATTGTTGTGTTTTCAGTATATATTGCCGCCTACAATCGACCCAGCCAGAAGCATGAATGATCTGAAAGATAGTTGCTGGCAAGACTCAATAGATGAACCCGGGGATTATATACTCATTATCTGAGTTAAAGCTCCCTACGCTATCCCTTCAGTGGGTGCGATACACCTGCTGGACATTCGATCGCAGTTGCTCTCAGACCATGAAGCCATGTTATCAGCTTCGCACCAACAGGAAGTACACTATCATCACAATCAGTAAATAATAATTTAGTACAATCCAATCCAGCCAAATTAGTTCTGACAGGTTAATGAGCCAGTAAACCCGTATTGAAGTAAATGACTTGTAATAGAGCAGTTCATAAATTTGCACTGATGGCTCTTCCCGTACCCGCGTAGGACAAAGTTAATACCTCAGTCCCCAAGCTGGATCATGATCGGAACCTTCCTTTTTCATACATTTACCCATCCTGCAGTCTTCCAATCTCTACTGTCGGTCTGAATTATCCATCACTGCGGTGTGTAAATGGTTCAACATATCACTGCTATGAGTGTGTCGACTGGTTACACATGGCGGGTTCATGCAGGTAACCCATGGTTATAGCCTCGAGGCTCCAGACTGCTGCCTGTGCTGCCTGGAAGCCTTGCAGATATGCACTTTCCATGCCGTCACTCTTGCCCTATTCCCTCCTCATCCGGACTCTTCTCCCTCAACATAAATACTCACCCCGCCTCACCCCCTGAGCCTGTTTCCAATCATCTCACAGAACCGACAACAACGATTCCTCTAATCATTAACAAAACAGAAAATGCCTCGTCGGACTCTCTCACCACCCCATTTTGAGCGCACTCTCGCGGACCTGGAGGATTGGGCCCATAAAACCGCCATCGAGGTAATTTGCCCCATCGGGTTCCTATTTGTCATTTTACTATTGCCCCCTGCGGTGCCACATTTAGATTAGAAGATTATAGTAGCGACTGAAAATATTCTCAGAATGTGCTGACATGATATGACAGGATTGTAAACTCGATGCGTGTCTTGACAATTTTCTCGTGCGCGTTTACCGGCTCAATCGTTCCATCCTTGAACAGTTGGACTACAGGCCTTATTGGAGATATGGGAACAGAGATTCCGAAAATCCCCCAAAGCCATTAAAATGGGATGGGCCGGGTGCCGGGGAGCTGCGGAAAATCGCTTCTCAACTCCATGACAACTTGAAACGCCTTCTTCCGGGCTACGTGGAGGATAACACTGATATTCTTGCAAACGAAAAAGTGCTCCGAAAGCTGAATAGCCGATGGAACGCTGTCAACTCCAAGGTGGTCAAGGGCAAGGAAGACGAAGGCGAGGAGCAAACCTTCGACCTGAATTATCTCGACGATGAAGATTATGAGGAATCAGAGGCTATGGAGACAGATAATTCGGGAACGGAAAACAGCGACATAGAATACACTGGTGCAGAAGATACCAGTGCAGGAGAGACCGATTCAGAAGACACCGACGCAGAAGGTATCGATGCAGGAGAGACTGATGCAGGAGATACCGATGCAGAAGACACAGAAACTGAGAATAGACCGGGGGAGAAACTCAAGGGAAATGTTCGTGAGACAAAGGCTCTTTCAAACTCCCCTGCTCGCTTCATGGACCGACTCCTAGACACCTTGAGTGCGGCACGTCTGGCAACAGTGAGAGAGAACAGTACCGGATCTTCCTCCCTAGCGACTGGTGCCTTTACACAGGCTTGTCGGCAGTTGAGAGAGGCGATCGAGAGCGAGACCTCATCTGCCTCTTTTGCATGCGGGGGCAGCATTCCGACCACGAATCTCATCGACTCCGAGCAATATGCAGCTGGACCTATGTCGCCCCGTGTGCAAATCGTTCACTGGGGTGATGAGCACGAGTCCACCGCACAAAGGCTCACACTGCCGCTGCTAAACATTGCCAGTGATTCTTCAATCCATGGTCTCCAAGAGCTTGTTGATGCTTGCCAACCTGCAAGCTTTGGTAGGGGTGGGCAGGACATCCTTGACCCCGAATACCGCAGGGCAGGCAAACTGGATCCCGACCGATTCCTGACGAGCTTCCATCCAGCCGATTTTGGCATTATCGAACTCATCGAGCAGATCCTTCTCCCTGGTATTAGCAGCGAGACTGAAAATCGGCTGCAGTTCCGCAAGCTCAAGGCTGAGTTGTACAAACTGAATGTCCGTTTGTTCCGAATCCCTAGCATTACATGTGCTGACTGAACGCATTGCAGGTATACTCGGGCCCTTCCGGGCATTTCCGAAAGCACGTTGACACCCCACGCTCGGAGCACCAGATTGGATCACTTGTGGTTTGCCTGCCGTGCCAGTTTGAAGGAGGCAACCTGATTGTGCAGCATCACGGGCAGGAGACTAACTTTGACTGGAGCCGGCAGAGTAGCTCTGATATCCAATGGGCGGCTTTCTACTCGGATTGCGAGCATGAGATTGAGACTATCAGAGCGGGCAATCGGATCACTCTCACGTACAATCTCTATGTACGGGAAATGCCTGGTGCCATACTTGCCCCTATCCGTCCAGCCATTGATCCACGGGCTTTCCCACTCTATGGGGTGGTTGAGAGTCTACTGAACACCCCTGGCTTCATGAAAGATGGTAGGTTGTTCCCGATTATTTTATTCCCGCCCTGTACTTGGAATTTACGAAGGCTGATCTTCTGACTTAGGCGGCGTGTTTGGAGTCTTCTGCTCTCATGCCTATCCCCACTCCTCGGATATAGCCGAGCTTCAACTCCCACGTGCCTTGAAGGGCGCCGACCTTGTTGTCTATGCTATTTTTGAAGCACTTGGTATTGAAGTCAGCATCCTCCCGGTCCTGGAATACAATGGAGACTATGCAGGTAACCCTCAGCTGGGTGTCCCTGGGCAAGTCCCCAAGCCTAAGCGTAGGTATGGGTATCTGTCCCAGAGTGGAGGTTGGAATCCTGTTGCAGAAACCTACCTGAAAGAGGGCAAAGAGGATTCCCTCAGCTACAACGAAGTGTACCCTTGGAAGTCCAGCAGTGCACTTGACGTGGACCAGCACTGGAGACGGCTGCTGTTGACACGGGAAGTATCGGAAATGAAAGATGCCTTCTGGCTTGGAGAAAAGCACCATCTGCCAATGAAGCCAAACAGCCTCTATCAGGGAGGGGGTGCTCGAGTAGCCCCGCGTTTCCGAGGCTATTTTACGTCTGATCGCGGACAGGAAGAAGGCCTAGATGAGGTAAGTTGCATCCCAGGTTTTCCTTTGGGCGTAGGGAGCTGACCCTTTAATTTGCCAGGTGGCTAACGATATCTGGCCGACATACTACCTCCCGGGCATTACCTGGCTCACCCAACCAAAGCATGAGGAGATGGCCTTTTCTCAGATCTCTTATGGCAATGAAGCCAGCCTTGGTACTCGTTATTCCTGTGCAGCGATCCTGGCCGTCATTCCGCCTTCTAGTCAGCGGGGCCAACAGATGCAGATGTAGTAAGTCAGTGAGGTTTTCCAGGTAGTAGTGACGACAAAGTGAGAATGATTGGAGAGGGTTGGTATGGTTTACTAGGTTGTCTTGTTAGTTAGTTGCAATAAAATGGACACTCCTCCCATACCTTTCCTGTCTCCAGTCAGTGTAGCTCGATACCTACTGCTTCGCTACCAACCTTGATGTTCCAGTATGATACTGCTAGTGCGGAGCAACCATTCATCCATTTGTTAATAGTACTAGCGACGCTTTCACCGTGAAATGTACTGCCATACGTGCACTAAGTCCATCTCAAACATAACACATTAATTTAATCGCTACCGTCCATTGCCACCTAAGTATACCACGTCGGCTCTGGCACCTCACCCAACAAAGCATATCTCCCCAGCTCGCGATTCTTATACGCCACCGGATCATGCAGCGTATGCGTCCGAATATCACGCCAAAACCGATCCAACCCGACCTTCACCGCTGTCGCCCTGGCACCAGTAACCTCAAAGATACCAGACGTTACCCTCAACCCAACATCCGTGGTAACCACCTTGACACTGGCAATCCACTCGGCCAACTCACCCCGTTGCCTGGCCGTCAATCCAGGCCGATTATCCGCATGCTCTCGATACAAGGACGAAATCTCCTCTCCAGCCCGATCGGCCAGCGCCTCGGCCGCGCGGAGATGCGCGAAGAAGTTCCCGTATCGCTCGAGAATGTAGAACTCTTCTGTCGCGGAGGGCTTGTTGTCCCCGCCGAAGGGCCATGGGCGGGTCGTGCTGACGGTGTATTGTGATGCGAAGGCTAGTGCGCCTTGAGCGATGCCGAGGTAGAAGTTGCTGAAAACGAGTTGGATCCTATCCAATGGATATGTCAGTATTGCTGTGTTCATTAATGGATCAAATGGAAGGATGGAAGGTATAACGTACGTGGGAAGCAACAAACTCGCAAACGGCACACCCAGAACCTCCTCGCGCGGCCTCTTCGACACATCGTCCCATCCCAATGCATCTTTCCACGGCGCACGCACATTCTCTATCTTGACCCCTCCGGACTCCGTCAATCGTAGACCAATGTTATTCCAGTTATGGGCGAACTTGATCCCCGCCTGACGGGTCTCGACGAGCGCGAAGATGTGCTCGCCTGTACCTTCGAGGACACCTTCTAGGACAGTGAGGTCGGAGACGACGCCTCCCGTGTTGAAGAATTTGGCCCCGTTGAAGATGATGTCCTCTCCATCGGAAGTGATGGATAGATCGCTATCGCGGGGGTTGACGGCCCCGCCGACAAAGTAGTTGTTTGTGATTATCCACTGGTGGATGCGGTCGGCTTGCGAGGGGGTGCCGACTACGTTGGCTGTTGTGGACCAGAGGAGGTGGTAGCCTAGGAGCATACCGATTGAACTGTTTACCTTGGTTAGTTTTGTTGTGGTATATTGTGGTTATGGAAGAAAGGGGAGGGGGATGTATATACCCATCTCCTTTGGCTACCTCGCGGATTGCCTTGTATCCCACGCTCCAGGGCTGTTCGCCTCCGCCGTATTTCTTGGGGCCGAGTAGTTTTAGAAGGCCAGAGTGTTTGAGTAGAGCTACTTCCGCCCGTGGGGATTTGTTCTCTTGCTCGCGCTGCGCAGCATCCTGGCTTAGGACTGTGGCTACTTCACGCGCCCGAGCTAGCCAGGCATCAGCGGTGTCGGGTAACGAGGCCCATTGGGCTTTGTAGGCTTCGTAGACAGCTGGATCGGTGGCTGGGATGTCAGTTTGGGTCATGTTGAGCTGGTTATGATAATGTGCTGGGAGAGTGAGGGGGTTGTGAGGGGCTCTGATGAAATGCTGCAGCAGGCATGGTGGCACTGGGCAATCACTTGCTTATAAGTTGATATCTGTTGATGGACTCAAAAAGTAGTCAAGACGTGGTGATTGCGCTGGAAGCTTGTAAATGGCGCGCACGGATCACGCCATCCGCGGGCTGAAGCACATCGCATCGTGGATCGACAAGGAGAGAATCGTTGGATGCTCCAGTGGAGGGGAGATGTCGTTATCCCGCCGAATATGGCACAACCAGCACAATTACGGGGTTGGCTTAGACCATAAGCTTATCTCGTGGCTGCACAATAATTAACTCAATACAATATACCCAGATATACTACCACTAATTAGTACTAACTGCTGTTCTGATCTGCAGGGCATACCCACACCCACTGTCCATCTACTCTTCTCGCTTCCTGCTCTTCGCAAAATACCTCCCCGTGTCCCCCAACGGCAACTCCAGCAAACTATTATCTTTCAGGAACAAATGAAACACAATATACCACCCCACCATCCCCGCCACAAAGCAACTGGCCCCTCCTGTCTTGCGCAATGCCCTCGCCGACTCAGCGTGTCCATCCGCATCAGCAAAGTAACTCGCCGCCACAGTCAAGAACCCCAAGTCCACGAAGAAGAAAACCAAAATGTTTGCCAGATTTGTCGGCAGCGATGCTATCAGAAACGCGAACACGAATACTGTCCATAATATCATGAAGAACCCTAGCGCGTTGTTGTACTGTGCTGTGTCGGATCCGTAGGCTTGTGCTACGCCAAAGGCAGGGGTGAGGATCGCGCCGTAGCCGGCGTAGAAGAGGCCTGTTTGGAATATCAATCTGATTAGCTTCGTTATTCTGCAAGAACAGAATAGGGTCTATGAGGGAGATGTACCGAATGCGCTGAATACCGTGTACGCGAAACCATTCCCCACGGAGAGTTCCCATTGCGCGGTGATGACAAGTCCGAATGCTGCGATGAAGAAGAAGTTGCCCACGTAGACGTTGGTGATGGTTACGCCGCGCCATTCCATCAGACTCAGAGATAGGGTTGTCAAAGTCGTGCCGAATGCGCCTAGAGCTAGCGCTGACTACATATGAGATGCGTTAGTGTATCACTGTTTTTTCAGGATGGAGGATGGTGACTTACGCCTGCCCCGAGTGACTTGGGTGCGACTTGCACTGCTGCTGCAGTAACAGATGCTTGTCGCTCAATGTCAAATGCATCGGTGACGTTCTTACTGTCTGTTGGTGAAGTGGTAGACATTGTAACTTGAGGGGACGGTGTAGGTAGGATTGCCTAGTTGTGCTGATTGATGACCTCGCGGTGAATGGGCCATTCCCTGATTATGCTATCTTATAGACGCGCGGGCCTCATTTTGGATCTATTACGCCATCTGGATACCGAGTGGTGAGCAGAGATTGACTCCAGAGTGGGCGGGATCTCTTACGGGATATGGGCGGGATCTGCTGGAAAATAGAGTCTTCGGGATGAGATCCAGGCTGCCGAAGCGGGAAAGAAAATCAAGTTCTTGACGGTCATATTGGAGTATGGAGTATGCCTGTACTAGTGGTGGGGGGCGATCATACGATGGCCTCATCTCCCCCCCGCGATGAGGTGCTTGTCTGAATTTTGGTCCAGCCCACAACACACTTAGTAGCTCCGATCAATCCAGTCTCCCCAAGTCTCGCCCAGCACTGTGGTCTTGTCAACCGCAGCAGAAATGGAGGTCTCGTATTCGCGATCAGATGTGTCCGATCCCGCACCAGAGTTGTTGTATTCATAATACAGCGGCGTCGCACCGTCTGCCATGGTCGTCCATCCCTTGGGGTTGATGATGTCCGACAACACTGAGTTCTGGTAGATGACTCGCGCCAGCACGCGCCACGGCCGGCCCAGGTAGACTTCCTCCGTGAGAGAGACTCCCGAAGCAGCCTTGATGTTGCAGTTGTCGATAGCGTACCAGCCTGAGTCAGAGGAGGTTTCGCGCGATGAGGCCGTGATGGCACCGGCGCCGTTAGACACAATGTCACATTCGCCGAACCACACGGACGCATCGCCGAAGATGTAGTCGACCGCGCCTGGAATAGTTAGTCAATTTGCTAATGGTGCTGCTTGGACAAATACTGACCCTCGATCATGCAGTTGGAGTAATACTGGGTACCGGCCTTGACATAGAGAGTGTCTTGATAACCACTGAATTGGCATCCATAGAAGCCCAGTTGATCTGCGTTTCCGACAAGGCTAGCAAAGCCATTAGCCCAACAATCTCAATGAATCGGGAAGATCGGCATACTTACGCTACAGCCTGTGCTCCCTCACCATATCCATTCTCCACGTTGATGTTGTACATGCTGAACCCATCCGAGACCACGTTGACGGTGGCGCTCTTGTCGAGAGAGCCGGCATCCGACGACGAGATGGTGTGGGTAATGGTCACCACATTGTCCTTGTATGTGCTGGTGTCGGTAGTCTCACCGTACAAGGTGAGGTTGCCAGCGTAGTCAATGGTCAGCTGCTCCTCATACGTGCCGCTGGCAACGTAAATGCAAGCGGACGAAGTGGATGAGCCTAGAGCGTCAAGCGCGTCGCCGATGGTGGAATATGTTCCATCCGATCCGACCGTCAGACACCCTGAGGGAGCACTCGTCCGGCTCTCTCGCTTCTTGATGTGCTCTGCCGGAGCACCGACGGCGGTAGCAGCCAGGGCGGCAAGGGCGCCCAGAAGATATGGAGTATGCATGTGAGTGAGTTGTTGCTGCGAGATCCTCCGGACTAGATGGGTGAGGATGAATCCTAGCAAGGCGTCGGAAAAGGAAGGAATCGACAGGCACGCCAAGTGAACTATATAGCTTGCTTCCGAGCACATGTCAACAAGGCTGTCAGTTCATGTCATAGCATCTCCAGTTGTCTCTCCTCGCCCTAGAAGGCTAGCTGCCAACAAGACACCGGGACAAAACGGCGGTCCAGCGCCAAGAAAAACCATTGCCGGAGAATTTACTCCACACTTCCATGAATAACCATCTTCGCTTCCCGGCACGGCCGCCATGGCGTTTCACATAAGCATCCTTCGTCTGCAGGAACACGCCGTTGACGCCGACGGTTCTCCGTGCAGAATGAAGCGATTGGCGGCGTGCCATCGGGAAGCTACCAGACAGGTTCAGGCCTCAGCAGGAGGCGGAGGAAGCGACCCTGGCAATTTATCCGGATCGACATACCACCGCGTCAGCTGGCTGGGTCTGTCTCCTGGAACGGTTCGAGTGTCGCATGTTAGTGGGCGGGGTTTCATCGCGACTCGCAGGGATCAAGCGGCAGTTCGGCATAAGAGTAAATTGCATGGCCTACTCACAAATTGTGTTGAGGACCCTGCCAGCTGTTGTAATTTTTAGGCCAATTAGCCGATACTCCCCAGGTCTTGAGATGGTCAGGGCACGGCGGTTACTCCGTCACTAAATTAAGCATCCGGCTCGTTTCAAATTGACCCCCAGCCGAGATGACAGGGCCTGCCTCGGCGTCCCACAGCCCTCACTGATGTATGCCTCTGCAAAGAGATGGTAACCACTGCATGCCACGCAGTTCCGTACACCTCCGGGCAGGATGCGAGTCGTATATAGTGGGCTAGACATCGCCAGACTGGTCACCACCTCAACCTGTGCAACGATCCCATAGTCATTGGCACAATTAGTGTTCACCATGACGCTATATCGCAATCTTCTGCTTTTGGCCAGCCTTGGACTGAGCTATGCTGCTCCCTCTAAGGTCCAACGTGCCCCTGATTCGTCCCTCCATGCTCGTGCCGTCTGTACCCCAACCGCAGGAGGCGATTCTTCCACCGACGATGTGCCCGCCATCACCGAGGCTCTCAGCTCGTGCGGGAACGGGGGCACCATTGTATTCCCGGAGGGCAGCACCTACTACCTCAACAGTGTGCTTGACTTGGGCAACTGCAGTAATTGCGACATCCAGGTGGAAGGTCTTTTGAAGTTCGCCAGCGACACCGATTACTGGAGCGGTCGCACCGCCATGATCAGTGTATCCGATGTGGATGGCCTGAAGCTGCGCTCATTGACTGGGTCGGGTGTCATCGATGGCAATGGCCAGGATGCGTACGTGATCACCATTCTCGGAAGCAAGCCTCCCAGTCCATTTAGCTGACCGATGCAATTTAGGTGGGATCTCTTTGCGAGTGACAGCAGTTACTCACGCCCAACGCTCCTGTACATCACTGGCGGCAGCAACCTCGAAATCTCCGGGCTGCGTCAGAAGAACCCACCCAACGTGTTCAACTCAGTCAAGGGTGGCGCCACTAACGTCGTCTTCTCCAACCTGAAGATGGATGCAAACTCCAAGTCAGACAACCCGCCCAAGAACACTGATGGCTTCGACATCGGCGAGAGTACCTATGTAACCATCACTGAGGTCACCGTCGTCAACGATGATGACTGTGTGGCCCTGAAGCCCAGCTCCAACTACGTGACCGTCGACACCATCAGCTGCACCGGCTCCCATGGCATTTCCGTGGGGTCGCTGGGCAAGTCCAGCGACGACTCGGTCAAGAATATCTATGTCACGGGCGCAACCATGATCAACTCCACCAAAGCCGCCGGAATCAAGACTTATCCGAGTGGAGGCGACCACGGCACTTCCACGGTCAGCAATGTGACGTTCACCGATTTCACCGTAGACAACTCCGACTATGCCTTCCAGATCCAGAGTTGTTATGGCGAGGACGATGACTACTGCGAGGAGAACCCGGGCAACGCCAAGCTGACCGATATTGTCGTCTCGAGCTTCAGCGGCACAACCAGTGACAAGTACGACCCGGTTGTGGCCAACATCGACTGCGGTTCGGATGGAACGTGTGGCATCTCCATCAGTGGGTTCGATGTGAAGGCGCCGTCGGGCAAGTCTGAAGTGCTGTGCGCCAACACCCCGTCTGACTTGGGCGTCACCTGCACTTCAGGAGCATCGGGCTAAATAGCTTCGGCCAAAAATGATTTCTGTATCCACTAGCTATCGATCATCATCAGATCTAGGAGTTAGCATGGTAGTGTACATAGCAGAATGTAATCAATTCCCTGACGATGCTGCAACTACAAATATGGAAGTATCATCATTACACATGAGACACAACGACGACTTTCTCGGTTTATAATTGTTGTAATGACCGACCTGATGTAAGAGTTAATGAAGATTCCTTCAGGAGGCAGGGGGTAGTGGAAGCAATGGGGCTTTTTCACCTGGGATGGGCTCAAGCACTCCCACCGTCATGTTTAATAAATGGCACCACCGCTGATTTGTCAATCATCCCGTCCTCGACTCCAATTCCCCGCCATCAGTTGAATTCTGCATCATTGTCGGAAGGAAAACCGGACCCTTCGGCCAGTGCCGGTCGTGCATCCCCACGATGTGGAGGCGGGGAGCCCGTCTTGGGGATGGAACCACGCACCATCCGGCATAACACATATCCGCTGGTCCATCCTCCGCCAATCGGCCCTCTCTTCACTCTCCAGCCCATCTAGTACAAAGTATACCGGCACGGAGATCGGTCCCAGAAACAGCCTCCGACTTCCGCGCTGTTGAGCCTTCGTTTCTGGGATTTCTCCGAATGCATGACGGAGCTCAAGCTTTGAGAAGGATCCTTCACGGGATGTTGGGAGCTATAAAAGGCGCGGGAGAAGACCCCAGAATCACTTGACATTCTTCCAGCTTCAGGATTCCAATCCAGCCCAGGGAAGGAAGATAGTTGTCATGAAGCCATCCTGGAGTCTTGCTTCCCTTCTTGGGGGCGCTGCCATTGCGTCCGCCGACGTCTATCCTCCATATTATGCCAATCTTACCTGGCAGGCCCCGCGGACGCTCTCCAACTGGTCCAATCTGACCGTGGAGACGCAGACGGGCACCTTCATCGGCATGCTGAACGATACCTACCCCAACGTGCGCCAATTCCTGCGCATCCCGTATGCTAAGGTCGGTTTCTAATTGGCTTACTGAACATGGCGACTATTGCCCTGCTAACCAGTTCCTATGCGATAGCCTCCTGTCGGTGACCTTCGCTGGATGCCTCCACAAAAACCTGAAAAGTCGCGTAGAAGATATGACTCGACACGATATGGCCCAGGTACGTAGATCCTATAACGGACCACATGATGATCACGTCCGCTGATCTACAATGACCAGCCTGTCCGCAATATGTGACCGGCGAAAGCACCATGTGGAATGAATATTCACCTCCCAACCTCTTGGTCAACCTAGGAGAGAACCTGAACCAAGGGGCAGTGGCGTGGTCCACGTCGGAAGACTGTCTGTCATTAGCAGTCTGGACCCCGTCCTATGCTAATCGCACCTCGAAGTTACCTGTGGCGTTGTTCGTGACCGGTGGAGGAGGCGTCACAGGCGGTATTGAAATCCCCTCTCAGCTGCCTTCGCCGTGGGTGTCTCGCTCGCAAGAACACATTGTCGTGACTATCAATTACCGCGCGAACATCTTTGGAAGTATGTCCCCAATCCTGACACTCGAGGAAGTCACTCACAAATGTGTGTAGATCCCAAGTCCCGGGCCCTGAATGACACGTCGCTCACGCTGCTCGACGTGAGGGCAGCGGCAGAATGGGTGCACGAGAACATCGAGGCTTTTGGTGGAGATCGCGACAATATTATGGTCGGTCTTGCCCCAAGATACTGAACTAGATCTATGCGATGTAACTAACTATTGTCTGTAGCTTTGGGGTCAGTCACAAGGAGCAGCCCTGACACATCTCTACACCCTCGCCTTTCCCGATGACCCGCTGGCAGTCAAATTTGGCGTCATCTCGCAGCCACCATCCGTCACTATCGACCTGAGTACCACCGACGACGTATACCAGGACTTTGACATTGTCGCCAAGGCCCTGGGCTGCAACTATGGCGACGATGCGGAGGCCGAGCTGGAGTGCATGCGCCAGGTCTCCTGGGTGCAGATTGAGGAGTACATTAATCGGTACTCGGGCTCACCTTCAATTGCATTCAGCAACTATATCCGTAGGAAACACACTTTGCTTGCTTACTTCTTTGCCCAATCTGACAATCCTTTTAGCCGATGAAAAATACATCTTCTCCAACGAATCCAAGCGATACCTTGAAGGCAAGGTCGCCCGAGGCCCAGCCATCCGCTCCGACGCATCCCGCGAGGACGCATCGGCGAATACCACGAGCGTGATGATCAGCGAGGGAGAATGGGATTGCAGGGCCGCCCAGGACTCGGCTTTGCGAAAATCTCTCGGGCTAGAGACATACCGGTACTTCTGGGCTGGCAACTTCACTAATATTAGTCCCGTCGACTGGCTGGGTGCCTTCCACTGGTCTGATCTATTGATGATCTTTGGGACTTATCGCGAAGACGTCGGAGAGGTCCCGGAGTTGGAGGTGAAAACGTCAGAGACCATGCAGGATCATATTTTGGCTTTCTTGAAGAATCCTTCCACGGTGAATGTGACGGTCGGATGGCCGGCCTTTGATGCGGATAGTCCCGGGGGTGGGCAGATTCTGGAGTTTGGCAAGGGTACGCCGGTGCGCAAGGTGACTGGGGACTGGTTGGATGGGGGATGCTACAATTCTTCGATTCCATTCCGTATTTGGACATGATATGAAAGTTTGTGAGGATATTCATTTTGGTTGATAATATGTGCAATGAATGATGAGGATATGCTATCTGCAGTGAAGACCGGTACGGGGGTAGTTGCTTTACCTCCAAGTAATGCAAACAATACCAAAGTAATGACAGTTGAGAAATTCGTAAAAGCATCAGATTTCCGACTTCAATACCGTGGCGACGCTTCCTTGGGAATCTCCAGTAGATCTCCTACCGGTCGGGCCTCCATCCACGCATCCATCGCCTCGTACAATTTGTAGAACGCCTTATTGTTCATCGTCGGCAAATCATTCAAGATCGGGTGGCCTAGCTTGGCCTGTGCCACCGCCAGATACTGGTAACCCTTGGGGTATTTCTCCAACTCCGCTCGGTCAAATTTGGGCACCGTCTGACCATCTGCAGGTGTGACGCGATCCTTTTCGTAGAACAATTTGATATATACCACTTTCCAATCACCTCCCTGTTTCAGACAGAAGTTTATGAAGCGGCAATCGCACTCCACGTCGAACTCGACTCCGTCCCAGTTGAAGCGTTGAGTGATGGTGGCCTTCATTTTACCGATGGCGCGGCTGGTGGTCGGATTCAGGTCGACGAGGGTGCCGTTTTCGCGGTGCATGATGTGGTCTCCGTTGGCGCGTCCCTTAATGGACGTCTTGATGAAATCGTCTATAGAAAGTCCGCCGCTCCAGGCTGGAAACAGACATGACATGTAAGCTGGACTGGCTGTCCCGGAATTAGAGACTCGACCTACTAGTAAAGACAAAAGCGCCCTTGTCGACAAACAGATGGCGGTAGTGGTTCCATTCAGAGGCATCGCGATAGACTGGCCAGCCCTTGCAGAGCTCGGAGACGCAGTAGCGATCGAGGATATCGCCCTCGGAGCCGTTGATGTGGCTCCAGATGGTGGGCTGGGTTTCCTTTTCGGTGATATTGTAAACCATTTTTTCGTGGACCAGTTAGGCAATGAGCACTCCTCTACCATGCCTGCACATCCAGCAGTAGTATATAAATCGTGGCTACCCCTCCCGAACCCAGGTTCCCTAGACATGACATCATCCCCGACCGTGGTTGAAGCTGGGCTGTCAGAGTTGAGGCTTTCCGCAGCATCCGGGGTTCTCGATCCGGTTCTCAGGTGCCGACTTGGCGATCCGGACCCATCCTGCGGATCGATATAGCATCATTGTCCTGTCTGGAAGTCCTGGTAATCAATTTGGCAGTAGTCCGAACCGGCGAGAGTCGCGCGAGAGAGTCGGAGTGGACGTTCGGGAATGCGGTCGCAGCCTGTCACTTACTTCATCATGTTGTCAGATCTGGGTTAACTGGAACTGTCTGCATGCCGGATAAGCTTAGACCATGCTTGGTTGTTGAGGTGAGATAATGTGATCATGAAGAGAAGGTATGCTTGAAACTGTGGCTGGTTACACGACTTTTACTTCCCGGAGGAAAGGTTGACTATTTTACTACTCTCCGTACTCATTGATGGTTGCGCGATTCAGTCAGGTGTGGCGCTAATCCCAAGGTGGATAAGTACGTGTTCATGCTTCTGCCTCAGGTTGCAACGACGGTCGCGCAACCAAGTCTTTTTTCTCTGTTTCTCTACAGTAACGTGACTGCTACTCTGTATATCTTACGAATAACAACTATACTTATCTTAGGAGATACTACTATGGTAGAATTCGAGGACTAGTACAACGTCGCAGTAGCGAGATCGTTTCCGTGGGTAATTAAAACATCAGAGTGAGCTGGATATATATAGTTGTGGTTGGCGTTGGTAGTAAGTCACGATGAATCTGCATGCAGTAGTACTAGTAGGCATGTAGTTTCAATCTAAGCCAACACCATCATTTGAATGCAGATATCTCTTTCCCATAGTGATAATAACAGCTAGTACTTTTTCAACAGCCGACTTTATCAACACCAATCTAACAGGCTAACCCAATAATTGTCAGACTATACATCCCCGGTTCGGCAGGTGTGCCGCGCGCGGGGTTCTGCCGTGTTTCCCCGCTCCGTCTTTTCCTCCTCACTTCAATCCCATCTCCACATGTCTACTCCATTCATCTTCCAAGTCGCTTCTGCTTGCTCATTTGACCTGCGATACAAAATCTTCCCATTCTATTCAGAAGCGTCATATACCAAAGATACTGACTGCCGTTGAAGACTCCAATCTGGCTACTCTTACATGCCCCGCTACAGGTGCATAGAGGATGGCCTGAGAGGCAGACAATGAACTTCTATAATTATTTGGACAGCAACTCCCAGGAACTTTTCCTTCATTAGAGACCAATGGGCTCACCCCGCCAAACTAGTGAAGGATATATATACATGAACAAATGGCAGAAACAGAAGCGAGTGGCTGGCGCGACCATTAACCTATTACTTGCACCGAAACAGAACCCCCTCAACATTGGGCCTCCCCTTTCACAGAAAAGGAGATATGTCGACATTATACTGGAAGCAGTGTGAGACCCGTGAAATCACCCGAAGAAGCAGACAACTGGCAGGACTAGAGGTGCACTCCCTCTTCGGAACTGGACGCGGACGTGCCGTGATAGTTTCCGAGATAGTCCCCGAGCTCCGAAATGGCTAATTGCCGAAGCTCACTGCGTAACACCTTGCCGGACTATCACGAACAATATGGTCAGCATCTGCAGGTTACGGAAGGCAATACAGCGGGAAGAAACAGGTGGTGCATACCGCGTTCCGAGGAATCTTTTCAATGAAGGAAATGCCGCCTGATAGACGCTTGTATGGAGGTAGCTTTTCCGAGATGAGCTCATGGATTTCCTCAGCGGACACAGAGGTCTTAGGATATGTTTGGATGTAGGCCCGGGGACCCTCGTCCTCGTTCCTGTGAAAGTTAGCGTCGTCTTCCAGACCATGGCACAGAAGGCTTACACTGCGACTCCGATAACTCCAACATCGCAGACGTGCGGGTGCTGTAGTAAAACAGACTCAATCTCGACCGGAGATACATGGCTTCCATTAACCTTGATCAAATCCTGTGGTAGCAGTGAGCCAGAGTCCTTCCATTCCTGCCAAGATGGCAGCATGCGTGCAAGGAGTTACCTTTTTACGGTCGACAATATACCAATTGCCTTCATCATCGACATATCCTACATCTCCTGTACTGATCCAGCCGTCGGCTCCCATAACCTGTTCCGTCGCGGCTGGGTTATTCCAGTATCCTCGAGTTGATCCAGGCGTGCGGATCCAGATGTCTCCAACCTCTCCCGTCTTCAATGTCCGAGAGGGATCGCTGGAATCAGTCACTTTCCCTTCGTAAGTGGCGTTCAGTTGTCCTACCGTCTCAGACTTGGGCGGGCGCAGGGGATCGGGCCCTGTGATAGTTCCCGTTCTGTGCAGTCATATAGTCAGCAACAAGGAACACTCGTTGTGCAGGGACCAACTTACTCTGTAAGGCCCCAGGCACGGGCAACGTATCCAATTCCCAAGCTTTCCAGCTTGAACTTCGTAAACTGGCTCATCGGCGCAGCACACGCCTCGACACGTCGGAGGCATGTCAAATCGTAATGTCGACAGATGGGGGCATTCTTCGCCATGGAGGTAAGAACAGAGCTTCGAATGATTGCATCCGTGATCTGGAACCGCTCAATTGCCTCGCAGATGCTCCGAAAATCATTGCGTCGCATCAAATACAGCGGAACACCCATCCTGGGAAAGATGGCGCAATATGACCGCTGCCCAACACTGTGATTGATCGCAAGGGAACCCAACACACGGACGTTTTCAGGGCCTCCAAGGCGAGGACTGTATTTCCAAGCCGGATGCGAGGAGATTCGCCGGATGTATCCCATCGCTGCGGCGATGTAGTTTCGATGCGACAGTTCTACACCCTTGGGCTCACCTGTGGTGCCGGATGTGAAAAGAAGCATAATTGTGCTGTTATACTCCTGCGAAGAAATGACAGTGGGATACCAAAATCGGGACCCCTCCCATTCGGACGCCACCATCGTCTGCCAGTGCTGAATCGGGCCTTCCGGCTCACCACAGCCGTCTAGGATGTCATCATCGAAGACAAAAATTTGGTTATCGGGATGATTGGCCAAGCGCGCGGCTTGAAGGGCAACGGGGAGGGTGGCACGGCTGGCGAAAATCACCGAAGGTTGCGAGAAGGAGATCAGACGATGGAATTCGGCCTGGTTGAGAGCAGGTTGTCCAGACGCGAAGATACACCCGGCCATCACGGTGCCCATGAGGAGTGCAGGATAGCAGAGGGCATTGGAGGTCACACACAACACGCGATCTTTCGGATTGACGCCCAGTTTCTGCAAACCCACTGCTACACGAGCAGAGAGGAGTCGGTATTGTGCCAGTGACAAAGCTCTCGTATCCGGAGAGTCGGCATCAATGAGGATCTTTCGGCTACTTAGGGAGCGTCGAGGGGAGCCAAAGACGAACCGAGGGAGTGAGCATTGAGGGATGGGTGTAGTCCATTTCGAGACAGTGTGCGAAGACCTGTCGCTGTGTGGCTGGGGCATAGGTGGAGGATGCATGATGAAGAGAAGTTCACGAGATTATCACCACTGGCTCTGTCACCAAGCTTCTTTGATCTGCTCGTGTCTGGGCTTTGGACTCTCAGTGGATCCTCTTTCCTTTATATACTTTCTACGACGAAGGGTCGCTGTCAGGCCAGCAGGGTTGGGTGATGAATTTACGTAAATAAACCTCCTGGCGCAAGCCATGTTCAAGCTGAACACTGATGCCTGTCGGCCATGAAACTATGGAACAATAGCCTGGGTCTGGCTGCTGCTGATGAAATCTATCGATCTGCACGTGTGGGCCAGGGGCCGTCTTGGTTTGCTGCAGCTCCAGGCCGATGATCTGCGCCTCCGGCCGCGCCTCTCGTCGGGGACGGCGATCGGCCAATTTCGTGATGCAGACTGGCACCGCTGCAGACTGACACTGCAGATATTGCCCAACCCCACAGCATCTATTATCGGGACCTCTCTTCGGAGTTGAGTTGCCAGCTCGGACACTGAGCCCGCCACGTCGGTCCGGAGAACTTTGCATTCCCCTGATTGTTGCTTTTCAGGCATCACACCGGCGACAATCATTGCGTGATTCTTATGATGTGACGCCGGTTCTCAATAGACTCCTATCACATGGCAATAATCTCTCATCACCTCGAGGTGAAGACGTGGACGGCATGATGGGTAAGCAATATGGCGTAACCTGATCCCCGCTCAAATCTACGAAGCACATTCTACAAAGCACATCCGGAACAAAGAAACCTGCAAGGGCAGCGCACGGGCGACGTAAGGGACGCCTTTGCGTATACTCGGGCGACGAGTCAAAACTTTGATCGTTTTAGGAATGCCATGTCGCCAAAATCCGTCTACAATGTACGCACGAAAAATGATTTTTTCTAGTATATGCACGAGAGGTCCATGGTACGAGTTCCTAAATTCAACTATCCGATCTTGTCTATCTATGAAACATCCTTTTTCTTCGATCTACAGTGACTCGTAGATCTTGGGTGCGTTGGCACCCCTGAATGAATGACGATCCTATCAGATCCTCCCCGCCAGCTTCTTGCGGTAGTCGTGGCCCCAGACTAGAACACCCCAGAGAAGTACGCTGGAAACTGCCCACAGGACAGCAATCAGGGTCCCCATCCAGCCCATACCGATTGCGTCAATGATAGGCACTGCAGCTGCAACCGCCCCCGCGCCCAGAAAGCAACGGAACATCGTGTTGGAAGCTGTGACTGTCGCTGCCCGCTTGACGTGGCAGTCGATCAGCAGGGTGACCAGGATGCTGGTGGCTCCCGAGATGGTATGCGCCGTGAAAAACAGCATAACAAGCGGTCCAGCCACATGAGTCCGGTAATTCATGACCCAGCCGTAGCCAATGATGCAGATGCAGGACATATAGACCATCGGCAATGTGATCTGGAGACGGGCCTTTTCGAGAGGAAACTCAACGAGGTCCATCTGGCGATTGCTAGACACCTCCAAGCCATGCTGCCGCCCTACGCGACGGAAATTCCAGTCCACAAATCGTCCAACGGTCCACCGTGAGGTGAGACTGCCGATGCCGTACGGGATATAGCACAGGCCAATCTGGAGCGAGTTGTAGCCGTACTTATCTCCCAACTCCGAAGACAAACTACTGAGAACAGCAAAGTACCCACAGTAGAGAATGGCGCAGAAAGCGATGATGGCGCCAGTTTCCTTTTCCAAGGCGATCTTGATGCTGTCTATCGGTGTCGGTCGACGGGGCTTAGGCCCGTCTTCCAGCTCTTTCTTAGCCGCCTCAGCCCCCTCATAGGCTGAGGGCTCCACGATCGGAATGAGTGGCCTATTCCATCGCGGCGCGGGAATGGATCCATTTCCTACCACCATGCGGCAGGTTTCAGGGAAGCAGACAAGGATCAGGACTATCATCGCTGCGGCAAAGATGGCCAGGAACCAGAAGATACTTCGCCAGTCGAGAAACTGGGCCAGGACACCTCCAATAATAGGTCCCAGTGCAGGTCCCATTGTTATCCCCAGGGACGAGTAGATCATGTATTTGCCACGCTCGCTTCTAGTCACCACGTCGGCCGTGACAGCCATGCCAACGACTGAAATGGCACTGCTTCCGCAACTTTGGAAGGTTCTGAGGACAATGAGCGCAATGTAGTTGTCTTGCAGCGCCAGGCCGATATTGACGGCGAGGTACGTGATCAGACAGACCAGCATCGTGGGTCGCCGGCCATACACATCGGAAATACTACCCGTCACCAACGGCGCAACTCCTTGGAAGATCTGATATACTCTATGTTAGCTTATGCTACACAGCTTCCCGGATCCGGGATAGGATCTTACCATGTACGTGGTGATGGTCAAGTTGATTTTGCTGACGGAGACATGCAAATCGTCGGATAGTTGGTCGATGGCGGGATAGTAGATGTTTGCTGACACCGGAGCTAAGAATCCCACGATGGCCGCTATAGCAATGGTCATGATCTTCTTCTTTTCCGTCAACACCGTATGGGGCGGAGGCGGAGGCGGCGCCTCTGATGGCGTTTGAGAGAGTGGCTGGAGGCTGGCACTGCTGGAATTGCCCCCGAGGGAGCCCAGCTCGATTGTGTGCACAACCTCCTGAGGACCTTTGTCCTTGACTTCTTGAGACATGATAAATTGATTTGATTGCCTTAGGGAGTGAAAAGGGTTGGTAAAGGCCCTGGAACATGCAAAAAGAGTGACTTGGTTTAGCCAAAGCGTCAATCAACCGCGAAACTTGCCATGTCTGGCATAGTTATACGGGCTCTGTGCTGACATCCTCTCCTTGTCCGATGACATATGCATCCGCCCGATCGATGCTTGTTTTCCGGAAATGGCAACCGGGAATCACATCATGGATGGGATGCATTACGGCCTAGCTAGTGGTTTCACGGCACGGGGCCTTTCGTGTGGACGCATACTTCCGTCTCCTCCCGGGCAATTCGGACTCACTTGCTCAGCTACACTTGGTGTGATTCAGAGCTTCAGCTCGCCGAAAGAGGAAATGGGTACCCCCATGGCAATAACCCTTGAGTAATGGAAACTAAAAGTTGGGGAAGATCGCGGCTGAGCCCCATGGGTGGCGTCAACGATGATCAGGGTGCAAAAAGTAAGCATGAAAGGAACAGGAAACCGCGCCGAGAAGAAAGAAGAAGTTAAATGCGCAGCCGCGTCAGCGGCTGCATCGTCGATCATGCATCTCCACTCTGCAACAGCTAGACTATTGGCGGTGAAAGAAAGTCCGGCCTGGAATTGTCGATCATGTAGGGTGCGCAACCCTAATACTCACGCCATCGCGGACCTGCAGCTTAGCTTCTGCGCATGCTGGCCCAACAAAGGATGCATGTCGAAAAATGTGCCAAGTCATCGTGACCGAAGCCCCTTGGGTGTGATGTCTATATAAAGCTCATCAGAATCGGATTTACTATTGACCAAGCAAGGCGGTCAGGACGGCTTTCGATCTCAGAGTCCTTGTAGTCACGATTCCTTCTCACCATGGCTCCGGCAATCCAGTTCATGCCTGAAATGGAACCCTCATCGAACATAATTTACCCTTCCTCGGCGGAACGGGTGGCAGGAAAGAATGTTGAGACTACATACAATGTGGGTGATTTTAAATTAAGAATAAAGCCCGTGCTAACACCCTGAAAGGACACACTTCGCAAGCTGAATACGCTCAACACCAACTTTGCGTATCGTCAACTCCAAATCGAGACAGTGGATCAAAATGTCTTCATCCAGGACATGCTGAGATGGTGTCGCGCTGTGGGATATAAGGTATGCAAATACCACGAACAATAGTATAATCAGAGACTGACAGCGATCGATAGAGTCCGGATTTCGATCCCTTGAATGCGGTGCACATTGCCGGAAGTAAAGGCAAAGGCTCCACCTCGGCGTTTATCTTTGCGATTTTGTCCGAGTACCAGGGTCACGAGGTATGCGCTGCAACCACTGCAGCCGAGCAGTCGGACATTTCCATCCACAGGCACCACTGATACATGTCATAGAACCCAATCAAGAAGCTGGGGCTTTACACCTCACCTCATCTGCGCACTGTCCGGGAACGCATTCGGATCAGCCCGTCCAACGACACCCCTTTCCACCACACTTCCCTGTCAGAGGACCAATTCGTCCAGTATTTCTGTGATGTATGGGGACGACTCGGCCTGACAGAAGAGACCGCAAAGAGCGGGCCTCCATTCGCCCGCTTCCTCACGCTGCTTGCCCTTCACGGGTTCCTTCAGGAGAAAGTCGACACCGCCGTGGTCGAGGTGTGCCTCGGTGGCCGACATGACTCAACCAATGTCCTCCACAGACCTAGCGTCAGCGCCATCACAAGTCTCGCACTAGAACACACCGACGTCCTCGGCAACACTATCGAGGATATCGCCTGGGCCAAAGGCGGTATCATCAAGCCGGGTGTCCCGATCTTGACCATTCCTCAAGCCCCCGGCGCCACCGCTACCCTGCAAAAGATCGCAGCTGAAAAGGGAGCGCCGCTGACCATTGTCCCCGTGCACCCGGAAGTGGAGACCATGGAGCTTGGACTAGCAGGAGATTTCCAAAAGATAAACGCTAGTCTGGCCATAGCCGTGGCGGCGACCCATCTCCGAAACATGGGTTATTCGGACATTCCCGAGGACATCACCTCATCTCCCCTGCCGGAGAAATTCCGTCGCGCGCTGGAGACCGCCAGCTGGCCGGGCCGCTGCGAGACGCGGGACTGCCGGTCCGGTCGGTTCCATCTGGATGGCGCGCACACCGTGGAGAGCATGGACCTGGTAGGTTCCTGGTTCGCGAAGAAGGCCGCACCGCAGCAAGACTCCGCGAAGCGGGTCCTCATCTTCAACCAGTCGACCCGCGATGCCTTTACCTTGGTGCGACACCTCCGGGATAGTATCCGGCAGACCGCGGGTGCTGGTAGTAGTCTGGCCGAGAAGCCGTTCCACCACGTCATCTTCTGCTCCAACATTGCCTGGGAGAAGGATGAGACGGCGGATATGGAGCGCGCGTCGATGACTTTCCATGGTATTGCTGGCGAGGAGAACCTCAACCTCCAGGCCCAGCTGAGCACCTACTGGCGTGGTATCCCCGGTGAGGAGTTGACGGGCATCACGGTCGTGCGCACCGTGGAGGAAGCGATCCGCTGCGCTGGGGGTGTCGGCAGCGTCGGTGGCCAGGGCCGTGTGCCGCCGCTTGTGCTTATCACGGGTAGTCTGCACTTGATCGGTAGTGCGTCGGAGGTGTTGGAGACCCTGGAGGAAGAGGGCCTTTACTTGTGAAAAGCTATGCGGGGTCTGTCTTGAGCTTTTATTTTTCGGATGTATTATATTGAGTTTTCATTTGTCTTAGAAAGATGTAATTATACAAAAGGGACAATCATGGAGGATGGTGACTGATATGTATTGATGAATCATAGTCGATGTTTGGTCTTTCGGGTTACCGAGGGGAGGATGGACTAATACAATAGTTATACAAACATTCTGAAAATAATAGTGAATTTTGCTAGAACCAGATAGTGACTTCGTGTATCGTCTAAGATGGAGTCGAAAGATGCATATGTACAGTCTCAGTTGGGGGTTACCTGAGAGTTATGGCCACTCAGGCGCATGGTCTAATCTATATTGTCGCCCAAAAGGGTCAGTTCAATTCAGAAAAAATGTGTTATTTCTGTGGGCCGACGGTCGCGCCACTCCTCGTCTTTGCCAACACTTAACCGCTCGTATTGTTGCAACATCTCGTGCAAGCCAGAGGCAGGCGACGCTTGCGGATCATCCTGGAAGTGTTGTACATAGCTCTGTTCGCCGTCGATCTTGGTGAGCTCCTTGGCGTATTTATCCCACCGATCAGGTACTTGCGGCATTGAATCGGGCTGAAACAGCTCTTTGATTCCCGGTGGAACCTCGTCCGACTGCTGTACACGATCCCCCTGATTGCGTGCCCGCACCGACAGCTTGAAGAGGTGGAAGAGATGGCGCCCCAGCTGGGAACGGCAGGCAATGATGGACATGGCGCTGGTCAGGGTCAGGAAGTCTCGGTCGAGAATATCGAAGGTGTCCTGGCCGAGGAGGGTAAACAGTGCCAGGTTGACCGAGTACATGGCGAACTGGTGGGCGTGCTCCATCCCGTATTCCGCCCGCAGTTGCTGCGTGAGCGCCGCGATGGCCCGCACCGACGACATGGCAATTTCCATGGCGCTGAACCCTTTGCTCTCTCGAGGAGCACGATTGTCATGTTCTGACAGTAAGGGGTGGACTCCAAACCGATCGCAACACAGGTTTATAACTAGCGTGTGGAAACGCATTCTGTAGACACAAGGGTTAGTTGGCTGCATTTCACTCTCCGCCGCCTCCTGGACTGCGAGAACACTCACCTGAGCAAAAGGAGATGTGGCGCCGGTCGCGTAGCCGGATCGAAGCATTCGGGGAGGTTGCTCTCCCATACACTGAGTTGGTCGTAGAGTTCCTGCTTGCGCTGATCCGGCTCGGCGCCCGAACGCTCGGTGCGGGACAGATTCCAGGAAATGTCGCGGGCGATGAAAGAGAGCTTACATGCCTCGTCAAAATATTGGCTCAGGTATGACGGCCGGACGGTGGGGGAAATCGGGTATGGCGTCCATCTCTCGCTTGAGTTGGTGTCATCTCGCTCGATGGGCTCGACATTGACGGATCTTACGCGGCTAGGCCGGAGGAAGTTGGTATGGACGACCCTGTCGTACTCTACCATCAGATCGAAGGCTTCGGACGGAGATGTGCTGAGTGAGCCTGAAGACGAACTTACGTGTCTACCTGGAACAAGCCCCAGGCGGTGCGCTTAATGGAGACGATCATATCCTCGGACATTTGGGAAAGTGAGAGGCGTAAGCCTGTCTTTTGGTTCACGATGCCCAACGACTCTCCCATTTCAATGGCGCGGTGTAGCATAGTGTAACCCCAATCATCGTGGCCGGACAGGGAGTATCTAATGGATTGGAAAAGAATACAGTCAGGTCAACTAATCTACGTATTAGGGCGTGCGCCGCCCAGGATTGGGAGCCCGCATACCTCTCATACAGCAACAAGTGCGCCTGCAAGGATGCCAGACGAATGTCGCCTCCCTTCTCGAACTGATGGGACTGCAGATGGCGTTCTGCCTCCGCCAGAAAATCGGCGCCTTTCGTGCGAACATCACCGGGGACAGTGTAGGCTTCCGTATATTGCGAGTAATACTGTCTTAGAAAAATTCGTACGAAGGTCATGGTTAGCGAACCACATTGACGAGGCACGCTGGGGGAGAGAAGGGCCATACGCATGCATTGGCCAACAGGGCGTTGACCAAGAAGGGACTGCAAAAGTCGGACTCGGTGTTGCCCATGGCCATGTGCTTGACAAACGTCTTACTGTCGAAGAAGGCGAAGAAAGGGTAATCCCAGACGAGATAGAGGGAGACGAGGTGGGAGACCAAGTCATCGTCGTCGGTCACCGAGGTCCACGGTTTGGCGGGGACGCGGTAGGGGGCACTGCTGCACAGATACCGGATGTCCATGATCTGGGGCCGAAAGCGCGGGGGCTCACTTTCGACCTCGATACCGCGACGCAGGCCCTCGAGGCGGTGCAAAGCGTCTTGTTGATCCTGGAGCGAGGGCTGGGCGTTGGCCAGGACGCGGGTGAGGTAGCCACGCACCTCATCCAGCGATGCATGGTTGCGGATCATGCCCACCAGGGTCGGGGTGTAATCGGGGTTAACGGATCGGATGACCTGGAAGAGATCGTGCAGCAGGTCCTCATGGTAGTTGCCGGAGCTGATGGCATACTCGGCGGTGGCTTGTTGGAGATGATCAGCCCTAGCGGGGGCAGTCTAATGGGGAGCTCGATGATTAACTTAGGATTCTTGACAATATATATATAGATGTTTGAGTATTGTAGTTGGAGGAGGGGGGGGGGGAAGGTGAGGGG